AAAAAAAAAAAACAAAACTAAACTAAAACAAAAGATAAAAAAAAATTAACAGTTTCTTCCTTTATTAAGTCTTCTCCTGGTTATAAATTTTGGGTTAAATTTCAGAATTCTGGGGGCTGGCAGGTGGCATGCTGGTTGAAGCACTGGACTCCCACATGACTGACCATGGTTCGAGTCCCGGACCCAGCAGCTTGCTTTCCCACTTTCTCTCTCTCTCTGCCTTTCTCTGGTCAAATTTAAGAAAAATAATAATGACAATAAAATTAAATAAATAATTCTTTTTTTTAAATAAATAATTCTTTTAAAAAAGTTTTTAAAAATTTCAGAGTTCTGAAAAAGTTGGTTGTTCCAGTTTTTGCCAGTTTATCTATTGCTTTTATGGAGGGATGGAGCTTTGAAGTTCCCCATTCCACCATTTTTTGGTGACACATTCAACTACTTTTTTTTCTTTTCTTTTTTCTTTCTTCTTATTTTTTTGCATTTTATTTAACTTTTAATTAATTAATTTGACCAGAGAGGGACAAAGTGGGAGAGAGAGAGAAAGGGAAAGTGAGAAAGCAAGCCACCAGGTTTGGGACTCGAACCGCAGTTGCCCATGTGGGAGTCCAGCACCCTTAACCACTACGCCACCTGCTGGCCCCTCTTTTTTTCTTGTTAAAGAGACAGTGTCCTGCTATGTTTCCAGGCTGGCTTATGGCTTGTGGTCCTCCTGCTTCAGCCTCCCACGTAGCTGGATCACAGGCATGCACCAGTGCCTACTGCGGCCTGTGTGTTGGCCTGTGTGTTGGCCTGACTGCCGTACCATTCTAACTCCAGCTCTGGCCTCAACCACCTGACTGCTGGTATTTTCACCAGAAGTTCAGTTTCTTCCAGATTTCTCCACAAACATTGCTGTGTCTTTGACCTCTGATGTCCCCAGCTAATTTTTTTTTAAGTTTCTTTCCTTCTTTGTCTCTTTTCTTTTTTTCTTTCTTCTTTCTTTCTTTCTTTCTTTTTTTTTTTTTTTGAGATGTTTTTGCTATAAGCCACGTGCGCTTGCCAGACAGAGACAGAAAGTGAGAAATCACCCCCCAGAGGGGATGGCCACACCACAATCCCTTCTTTTCCACTCTCCTCTCAGTATCCTGGGCATGCATGCACACATGCCCAGTGTGAGTTTAAGCCACTGGGTCTGGGACTTGAACCGCAGTCAACTACATGGTAGTCCAGTGACATGGCCATTATGCTAACTGCTGGTCCCTAAGTATAAAATTTTGGGCACGCACGCACACGCACCCGGGGATGAGTTTAAGCCGCTGGGTCAGGGACTTGAACTGCGGCTGGCTACATGGGAGTCCAGCGACTTAGTCATTACGCCAACTGTTGGTCCCTCTTTTGTTTCTTGAATGAGTGAGACAAAGAGAGAGGTATCCCCAATAGGGTCTTCATGCTATGACCCACCCCAACTTCAGCCAGCCTTAGCGCATGGACACAGGCACCTCAGGGTGTTCAGGGTTTTCGGATGCACCCCCGAGACCCTCGCGTGAGTCCGCCTGGCGGAGCGTTCGCTCTCCCCCCATGCCCCTCCCCTGCCCCTCTCCTCCCCTGCCCCCACCCCCAGTTAGTTGTGGCCCTGCCAGGCTTCACGTGATGGCAGGTTTTTCTCGCCAGCCCTCCTGAACCTACGCCAAGCTGACCCCACACATGCCCTTTTGTCCTTCCAGGGCTCCAGCGCCGTGTCCTCCGCCCTGGGGGCCTGTTTGCTGCTGCGGGTCCTGGCGCGCCTGGAGTCCGAGGCCGAGGAGGCAGCGAAGAGGAAAGACCTGGCCGCCAAGTTCGAGGGGATGGCCGTCGGTGTGTGGTGCACGGTGCCTGGGGCAGGGCGGGGGCTGCATCTCCCCACCCCCTGCAACCTCGTGTCCTCACCTCTCCCCACTCTTCCCTCCCACATAACCGCCCAGACCTCTTTAGCCAGTGCTACCGCAGCAGCGAGGAGCGGTCGTCCCGCCTGCTGCTCCGCCGCTGCGCGCTCTGGGGCGACGCCACGTGCCTCCAGCTTGCGCTGCAGGCTGATGCCCGGGCCTTCTTTGCCCAGGACGGGGTGCAGGTGAGCATCCGAGACACCAGCAGGCCAGACAGTCCCCAGCCGCGAGGAGCTGGGGGAGGACGCCCTGCCATGGGGCAGCCTCCCGCGCCCAGCAGATCTTCGTCCTCTGCCCAGCCACCAGAAGCCACCCCTTGGGTGCAGTGAGCGGCCCTTCCTATAGCAGAGCTGCAGTTCCAGCCCAGATGCAGAAACTCCGGCGACAATGACAGAAGTCCCACCTCAGGGCAGGAAATCCTTCCCACCTCATGGGAAATTTCATTCCTCTGAGGGGAAGCCCCGCTTCGCCCACAGGAAGTTCTTCCCCCTCCCTCGAGAGGCACCCAGTTCTGGTTCTCAATAATTGGGGTGACCTCACTGGACGCTCGCCTACTGTTCTGGATGTAGACAAACTGCATTTAGGGATTCTCCCTTCCTGTAGAAAATCCTCTCCCTTGGGAAGCCCTGCCCCCAGTCTCCACAGTCCTGCGGATCTGACATTTTGGAAATGTCTTTACTGTAAACCTGGGGGCTGGGAGGCTCCCACCCTTGGTACAGGAGGCGCCGTCCAGCCAGCTGGAAGCCTCGTCCCATGCTCACCTCCTGGAGCACTTTAGCTGCCGTTGCAAACAATTACCCAGAGCCCTTTGCTCTAAATGCTGGGTAAATGCACAGTTTACCGGTTTCCTTAGCTCTGCACCTGCGAGGGGAGCGGATGCCGAGCGCGTCCTCCTGGGAAGCCGAGAGGGTTAAGCGAGCTCACCTCTGTGAGGGCGCAGCTCGGACACTGTCAGTGTCAGCTGCTCACCTGCTGGCCAGACCGCGCCTCTGGCCACTCCCTCCCCTGCCACCCTGCCACCATGGGCACTGGCTCTGTGTCCTGGAGTGTGACCTGGAGGCCTAGGGAGGGGGCTGCGGGGAAATTCAGGCTCCTAATGGTCCCTACGTCCCACAGTCTCTGCTGACACAGAAGTGGTGGGGGGAGATGGACAGCAGCACACCCGTCTGGGCCCTGGTTCTCGCCTTCTTCTGTCCCCCCCTCATCTGCACCAACCTCATCACCTTCAGGTCAGTCCCTTGGGGTCCGGCTGGCAGGAGGAGTGCTCCGTCCCCTCTCACTTCTCCCGCCCCCCACTTGGTCTGTTCAGTGTGTCTTTCCTAGGAAGGGGGCTCTTTCCTCCCCCAGAGGGACTGTTTGGGGAGGTAAACTTTTGGGATGCTGTCTCTAAGGGCAATCCCTGTACATTTCCGGCTGTATTTCTGGGGAAGTGGTCCCTCGGAGGGTCTCTAGGGGACTTCCTCTCTGTCTTCTGGGTGAAGAAGGTGGCTCTTTCTAGAGAACCCCTCCCCACCCTCTCTGCCCACGATCCTCACCGTTGCTGCCCGCTCCTGCAGGAAGCCAGGGGAAGAGGCCGCGAGGAGGGTTGTGGAGTTCGACGAGGACTGCAGCGTGAATGGGGAGCAGCCTATCGGGTGAGTGGGGCCCAGCACTGGGGGTGAGGTGGGCTGCCCTGGGCTATTTTAGGACACGGGACTGTTCCATGTCCTTTCAAAGACAGGGAGCAAAGCCAGAGTGTGAGCCTGGGCTTTGGGAGAGTGTCTTTAGTGACTGAAGAGACTGAGGATTTTCCAAAATGCCAAGCCCAAGCCTTAGTTGAAGATCAGGGGTTGCCACCAAGGGGGTGATCATTAGAAACCGATTTGCTTTGGGACCAGCAGATGGCATAGCAGTTATGTCGCTGGACTCCCACATGGCTGGCTGACCGCGGTTTGAATCCTGGACCCGGTGGCTTGAAAGTCAAGCAGGGTGTGTGTCATGTGTGCCCAAAGTCCTGGAAGGAGAATGGAGGAGAAAGGATTGTGGCGTGGCCATTCCCCCAGGGGGTGATTTCTCACTTTCCCTCTCACTGTCTGTCTGCCTCTCTCTCCCCACAATGTGCACACATACCTTAAGGCAAAAACCTCTAAAAAAAAAGAAAGAAAGAAAGAGGGATCAGCAAGTGGCATGTAGTTAAGGCACTGGACTCCCACGTGGCCGATCATGGTTCAAGTCCTGGACCTGGTGGCTTGCTTTCTCACTTTCCCTCTCTGAGTGGCTCTCTCTGGTCAAATTTAAAATAAATGAATGAATAAATAAATAATTAAACAACTAATTCTCTTTAAAAAAAAAAAAAAGAAAAGAAAGAAAGAAACCAACATGCTTCATGCTATATGTACTTTTGTCCCTTGATAGCAGGTGGAGTCAGTAGACTGAATCATTTAGGCCTGACCGCAAAGTCTTTGCCTTTTTTGTTTAGAATTATTTTATTTAACTTTATTTATTTTAATTTGACCAGAGAAGGACAGAATGAGAGAGAGAGAGAAGAAAAGTGAGAAAGCAAGCCTCCAGGTCCAGGACTCGAACCTCAGCCAACCATGTGGGAGTCCAGCGCCCTTAACCACCACGCCACCTGTTGGCCCCAAAGCCTTTGCTTTTTTTTTTTTGAGAGTTTTTTGCTATAGGGCGTGTGCGGTCGCCAGAAAGACAGAGAGAGACAGAGACAGGAAGCGAGAAATCACCCCCTGGGGAGATGGCCACGCCACAATCCCTTCTTCTCCATTGTCCTCTCGGAATCTTGGGCACACACACACATGCGCCCGGCGTGAGTTTAAGCCACCGGGTCCGAGACTCGAACTGCAGTCGACTACATGGGAGTCCAGCAACACAGCCATTACGCTAACTGCTGGTCCCAAGCCTTTGCTTCTAATCAGTATGCTGAGGTATTCATGAAGGTATTTTAAACACTAGGCCTAAGCAAATGAAATAGAACCTTTATCAAACTGGGCAGTGGAGGCGCTGGGGGGCTTGGCTCTACCGACTCCACACCCCGACTTTGACCTTGGCAGTGACCTCACTCTGAGCCCCGGTTTTCTTTTCTGTCAGATGAAGGAAAAGAGGAGGTTGGACCTGTGTTAGTCAGGGTAGGTTAGATACTATTGTAGTAACAACAGCAAGGAAATGGGCTGGCCCTGTGGCGTCGCAGTTCAGTGCTGTGTATGACAAGTCGCATCCCGCGTGGCCCACAGTTCGAGTCCCAGCCCCAGGAGCACACGTAAATTGATGGCCAAAATCCTGGTGGGAAGGAGCCGTGGAGAAGGGAATGACAGCACAGCCAGACCCCACGGCGGGGGGCATTTTCTCTGTCTTTCTCTCTGTTTTGGTGAATGCATAGGCCCACTGGTAATAACAATTATAGTAAAAACAAAACAAAACAAAACAAAAACATTTTAGTGTCCCACCACAAGGAAGGTTTATTTCCCAGCGGTCTCTACTTTAGAACAGTCAGTACCCCCTCGCTGGGGTGTGGCTGGCCTCAAGGCAAAGAGAAAGAGACGCGGAAACCAGGCACTGGCTCTTAGAGCCTCCTTCAGAGATGACACGTGTCCCTTTTGTCCATATTCATTGGCAAAGGCGAATCAAATGGTGGTTCTAGTTCCTAACTCTTCCACACAAGGGGTGCTCTGGCAGGGAACCGCAATATTTGGTGACCGCCTGCTGGTGTGGTTGGGAGGGCTCATCGAGGTGTGTGGAAAGGCTTGTCACGGGGACTGGCACAGAGCGGTTGATGAGTGGGGATTATTATCGTTCCTTTTTTTTTTCTTTTTTCATTTGCCAGAGGGCACGTTAGTTTTCCAGAGAGAGACAGAGAGAAGGACAATGAGAAAGCTCTCCCATGGGGCATGGTCATGTTGGGGTCTCTCCTCCGTTTCTCCCTCTGTTCAGAATTTTAGGCACACTTACCCAGCATGTATCTTTTTATTTTTTTTAGAATTATTGTATTTAGGGGCCAGCAGGTGGCGTGGTGGTTAAGGCGCTAGACACTCCCACATGACCGACCAGGGTTCAAGTCCTGAATCTGGTGGCTTGCTTTCTCACTTCCTCTCTCTTTCACTCTCACCGTCTGTCTCTCTCTGGTCAAATAAAAATAAATAAATAAATAAATAAAATAAAATAAATAAAAAAAAGA